CCAATTAAGTCACAAAAATCATTTGGTATGGTTATGAAACATCCGTTGTGGGTTTACAGTGCATATTACAGATTCAAATCTTCTTGCAACTAAAAGTGGCTTGTTTTCCTTCTGTGATTACTCAGTTGATGACTTCTGTGATTTGGGACAATGAAAGACTGAGAATCTAGCTGTTGCTTCCTGTCTTTTTTGCACATTCTGTTGAACCAGCTAAACTGTTTTTGTGTCTACTTATCTTTCGTGGATCTGTGGAGTTTGCTTTTGAAACTGAAAACGTTTTTGGAGAAAAAAAACCATCTCAGAAAAATATCATGGGGGGAAAGCCTCTCCATTATTTATATAATGTTTATACAAACAAGCCAAGGACAGGCTACTCCTCCGAAGAGACAAGCTTGGTAAGAGAGGATTCCATAATATAGGAAGCAAATGAAGGAGAAGATATCAGAGGATGAATTTTTTCATAGATACTTGAAACTTAGTAATACAAGGTTGTCAAATAACATGTTAACTATGTTATGGGGGTGTTTGGTGGGGAAGGGGGTGGTGGGAGAAAGGAGAAGGAGAGAGAGAATCTTAAGCAGTCTCCATACCCAGCACGGAGACTGACACAGGGCTCAATCTTACCACTGTGAGAGCATGACCTGAGCCAAAATCAAAAGTTAGACATTTAACCAACTGAATCACCCAGGTGCCCACCTATATTGAATTTTTAATAAATTGTTTTTTTCTGTTCACTTAAAGAGTTATTCCATGAGTGTTAAGAATTGGTCCAAGAAATTACAGAAGGAATGAACAGTCTTTCTAAAGTTGTAAGATAATAAGAAATTGTCATTATTAGTAAAAGTTATTAAAAGAAAAGAAATATTCTTTCTGCCATCAAAATCAACCATAAATCACCCCCTGCTTAAATAGAAATCAGACTCTCATAACAAAGAGAATGTGCCTGAAAGATGGCACTTTCATATTATTTAGCATAATAGTTTATTAGGTTTAAAAGAGAAGAGATAGAGAGGGGAGAGAGAAAGAATAAATTTTTTGCTACCATCAGGGGCACCTGGATGGCTCAATTGGATAAGCATCCGACTTTGACTCAGGTCACAATCTCGTGTTTGTGGGTTCAAGCCCCATGTCGGGCTCTGTGCTGACAGCTCGGAGCCTGGAGCCTGCTTTGGATTCTGTGTCCCCTTCTCTCTCTGCCCCTCCCCCTGCTCATGCTCTGTGTCTCACTCTCTCTCAAAAATAAACGTTAAGAAGAAAAATTTTTTAATCTTTCCTAGCATCAGTATAAATTATATTTTTAAAAATGATTTTATATTAATGAATTCTATCACAAAAAAAATTAGAAAAAGTTATCCTAAAAACATTTTATAGCAAAAATAAATAATAGGATAATTCTTAAAATGTACCAGGAAGGCTCAAAGCAGAGGAATTACCTTAAGTGTATAGGGATTGGAGAAAGACCCTGCTACGCAAGGTCAGGCATGTGTAGAGTGGAAAAGGAATCCCTAGGAAGGACAAGTTTCATATTTGGATATGTAGGAAAGGCCCAGAATATAAAGCATTAAATTTCACAGGCTGACACATTGCCACGCACATGATAGCTCATTAAAATATTTGTCAAACGCAGTTTGATACCAATGATGTCTGCTGAGCATAGGTGCATATGACAACTCCTTTCTTCCTTCTCGTCTTAAATGGTGAAGTGATACCTAGAGCAACAGATACCATGTTCCAACCATGAAGCCACAATATTTTAAGGATGAAAGAGCATAACTGTGAGGCTATCAAGGAACTTCTTCCACCAGATGTTTTGTCAAGTGAGATAATTAAATGTCTTATTCTTTATTCCTGAAACCACTGTTTTTTATTCCTTGTGGGGGGAGGGGGTCATTTATTACTTTCAGGAAAAAAAAATGCATTCTTAATTGATACACACCTAAAAGGAAAATTTTATCTTTTATCCTCAAAAATAGGCCTGGTCTGATTTCAAGACCCCTTTACCACAACACTCCCAGACAAAGAAACAAACAAAAAAGTCATCTGCTTGTTGATATCTGCAATTCTTCATTTAATGGAATACTTTATCTAGAACATGTGATATTGACTCATAATTGATTGTATAGCACCTGCTTTGGGCATTATCTTTGGGTCTGCTCCAAAAGAGAACTTCCCGTTTTGGGAACTTTTGGCTCACAAATTCAGATAATCCTCAACATATCTATTTTTTAATTATTACAGGTTTCCTGGTTCAGCTATTGCTAAGCTTTCGTACTCAAATTAATCGCACTGCTACCATGCATTGCACACATAACACCTCTGAGGATTTTTCCTCATCAACCATATTTTTTCTGCATTCTTCCCTCAAATAGTCACAAAACACCCTTTGTGCCAGTTATCAATTTATTGTCTGCCAGCTCCAAATCCACCTTTCTTTGTCTTGCTTTGTGATACAGAGGCTGGACTAAGTGAACTTTTCCCGGTTGGCAGCTGGTGCAATGTTAGGCTTTGTCAGCAGGGGGCGTGGAAGAGACATTACTGGAGGAAGGGGCTGCACTTCGCGGTTCCTCTGTGCAGTTTTTGCTCCCCCACCCCCTAAAAGCAAGAAACCTAGGGGATGCCCAGGGGAGTTCACACTCCAGCAAGTTTTGCCAGAACCACTGCAAAGTGTCTAGCACCGCAGAGGGTGGCTTCCCAGTGAGTTTCCCCCAACATTCCAGAACACTGATTACTACCTAGTTTCATTGGGGCCCCAGCAGGTGGTGGCAGGTGGTTTTCGGCTGGCCCTGACTGGTGGCGCTGCAGCAGATTTCTCTGCCATTAAGTAGGGCACAGCCACACCCTCTCCATCAAGGTCTGGATGTCAGTGTTTGCTTCAAGTTTTTTCCTTTCATAGGTACTGATCCTGAGCTGTAGAAGATATTCCCTCTACCTACTATTCTTGTAATCTGAGTTCTCTTTATTGCTTAGTTGTTAATCCTCTGTTATTAGTTAACTATTTAATCCCTTAGTAGTTAATTCCATGGGATAAGTTTATTAGTTCATTATTAAATAGTAACACTTTATATTAAAATGTGCCACTCAAACTACTGAGCGATTTCTATCTCCTGGATAGATCCTGACTGACACATCATCTCTAGGTCACTCATAGGAATTCTGCATGGTGTATCTTTATTTCACACAAAGGTCAGGAGTCTACTAACTTCCAAATATCAGTTGTAATGTCAGGCCAGATTTCCAAACCTGGAAATCCAGTACATTAAATTTAATCAATATATATTATTTTGCAAAGGTCCAGGAAAAGGAAAGACTCAAAAACATTGAATTTCAGTTGTGGTGATCTTCCTTAAACTCATCAAGATTCATTTTAATTGTGGTCCAAGACAACATTTCAAATATCAGTCTGAGAATTAAATTGCACATCTAGGGGCACCTGGGTGGCTCAATTGGTTAAGCGTCTGGCTCTTTGTTTCCAGCTCAAGTCATGATTGCAAGATTCATAGGATAAGCCCTGTGCCCGGTTCCACACTGCCAGTGTGGAGCCTGCTTGGAGTTCTCTCCCTCTCCCTTTATCTCTGCCCCTCCCACTCCCAAAATACATTTTTCAAAAATTGCACATCTACATATTTCAAGTTTGGGGGCGTGTTTGGGTATCAGAAATGGACTACTGTTGCCTACAACTCAAGAATTTGAAATATTTTCTATTCCTGCTAATAATGAGACTATAGGCAAACTACATTTTTTAATCTACACTTGCAATCCATCCTACTGAATATCAGAACATTTGAGATCCTTAGGCTCTTCACTAACCTTTGTCAAAAATGACCAATTATAGAGAAAATATTTACAAATCACATATCTAATAAGAATCTATTATTCAGAATATGTTAAGAATTCATACAACTCAACAAAGAGACAAAATAACCAATTAAAAATGGACAAAGTGTTAGAATAGACATCCTTCAGAGAAGATATATAAATGGCCAACAAGGACATGAAAAAATGCCTAATGTCATTAGTCAGAAAAATGTCAATTAAAATCATAATGAGATACCATTTCATATCGACTCAGAATTTTTTAAATGCAACATAAAATAACTAGTGTTGGTAAGGATATTGAGAAACTGGAACTCTGATACATTGCTGGTAGGAATCTAAAATAGTACAGACACTGGAAAAGAGTTATGCTGTTCAGTAATTACCATGTGACTTAGCAATTCCACTCCTAGGCATATACCCAAAAGAATTGAAAACAAGCATTCAAACAAATATACACAAATGTTCATAGCAACACTATTCACAATAGACAAAAGATAGAACCAATACAAATGTTCATCAACTTATGAATGGATAAACAAAATCTGGTATATCTGGAACATTGTTCAGCCATAAAAACGAGTGAAGTACAGACAACAATGTGAATGAGCCTAGAAAACATTATGCTAAGTTAAAGAATCAGGCAAAAAAAGTCACATATTGTGTAATTCCATGTATATGAAATATCCAGAATAGGAAAATCCATAGATTAGTGGTTTCCAGGGGCTGGAGAGAAGAGGAAATAGGAAATAACTGCTGAATGGGTATGGGGTTCCCTTTTGGGGTGATGAGAATATTCTAGATAGTAGTGATGGCTATACAACATTGTGAATGCACTACACTAACTGCCACTGAATTGTACACTACAAAATGGTTAAATGGTGAATTTCATATGTATTTTACCACAGTAAAAAGATAAATTATGAAAGGAGAGGAATTGGAGGTGGAAAACATAAACAATTCTTTCAAGAAGTTTTGTTCTAAAGGGAAAATAAGAGATGGTACAGTAGTTGAAAGGGGATGTGGAGGGACGAGTAAGTTTTTTTTTTTTTTGAGTAAGTTTTTTAAACATTGGAAATCTTGCTGCTATGTAACAGTTATCAAATAGATGCTTATTGAATGGATGATTAGATGTAGGCAGAGTTTACCTGGGAATGAAAAGATGAAGACTGCCATTGATCTTCCAGATCCTTGACAGATGACATCATGATCCACCTTTGCCTCTGATACTCATAGCCTCACTTTGCTAAAGAAATGAATCATGGCAGGAGAGAAGCAACATAAGGCATGGAAAACCATAGAGCCTAACTAATGCATTGCTTAAAATAGCAAGTAGATTTCACCCCAGTTGATCTTCCTATAATGAGACAGTGGATAAAGGCTCTCTGCTTAACAACAAGGTATGTAATTGAGAAATCTTTTCAGTTTCCAATTGATGGTGAAAAAATTTGTTGAACTGAGTGTTTATACATAAGTGTACTTTAATAAATTCCAAGTGGTCAACAGCAAATGCCAGTTGAAAACCATTCTGTGAATCTTCGGAAATTTGCTTAAGGTTAAAATTATTCACTTCTCAATCTCATTTTTTTTTATTTTTTAAAAATGTTCAATATTCTAAACATATGCAAAGATAAAGAATTTAAAGTGATCCTTTATATGCACTTCACCCAAATTTGGCAACTGTCAGCTCAGAGCCAATGCAGTTTTATTTATAGCCTTACCCACTCCTCTTCCTCCTTCTTGGGGATTATTTTGTAATACATGCCAAACATCCTATCATTTAACATATAAATATTTTAGTATGAATCTCTAAAGGATAAGAATGCTCTTTAAAAATATAACTACAAGTGGAACAAGATGGCAACAGAGTAGGAGGACACTAGGCTCATCTCGTGTCATGAACACAACTAGATGACTATCAAATTATCCTAAATACCCCGGAAATTGACCTTAATACAGAACAAATTCCACAGCTAAAGGGAGAGAAGAGGCCACATCGAAGATGGCAGGAAGGCAGGATGTGGTTTAGGGAGAAATGGATCATAGGTGCTGCAAAGGGAAGGGAGCCATGGTCACAGAAAAGGGTGAGAGAGAGAGAGAGAGGAGCACACAGGAGAACACACAAGGAGGATGCTTCCCCAAAGCCATTGGCTTGGAAAACAAGAGGGGCTGAATTTTGTGAGTTCATGAAACCATCAGGGCTTAAAGCCTGTAGTGTTAAAAGTCAGTGAGCTTGGCTGGGATAGACCCCTGAGGGCACTGTCCTGCTCCAGGAGAGAAGGCAGGCAAACAACAGGGGGATGGGCTGGGACAGACAGTGTGAAAACAGCAATCTGAGGAATGACTGGGGCACACAGTACAGATATTATTCACTAGTCTAGGAGCTTCCCTGTGAGGCAGTTTTCACAGTGATTCCTCTCCAGGAACAAAAGACCATCTGGTGCCATTTCACTCTCCTACCCCTCAGCATAAACACAGAGCCACCCGCAGGAAGCAGCGCAGCTCCAACACAGGCTACCTAATTTGCTTACACCACGTCCCACCCCACTGCGGTCTGGAGGGATGGCTCTTCTCAGTCAACCTCGCCTCAGTACCAGCATGGCAGACCCTTTCCCAAGAACACTAGTGATATGGAAACCTAACACAGGCTAAGGGCAAAGCACAAGCTAGCACATGACCACCACCACCACCCCCACCCCAGGTGGGATATGTGTGATATTCCTCAGGCACTCCTGGCTGCCCAAGAACAAAGGAAAGGAAAGAAAACAAATGGTTAACTGATAGAGATCACAGTCATACAATACATGGGTCTCCATCAGTTTACAAATATCTTAGTAAATTACAACAAAAAGGCAATCTTATCAATAGCCTAATCTCCAGAAACCTGTAGACTCAGTTTCCTGGAGCCCCAACATCACCCCTCCATAGTGATATGGGGAACAAAGGCAAGAAGGAAAATAGCAGGTAAAATTAAATTTCCTTATAACCTGCAGCCCATTGACAAATACTTGGGACTGGCAGAGTAGAACATTTCTCCAGGAACTCCCTACTCTCTTAATGTTAATGCTCTGCTAGAGGGAAAAACAACCTTACTTTGACAATAGCTAGACCTCTAATATCCTGTGAATCTTCTTTAGCATATGAAAATCTCTTTGAAAACTTTCCCTTGACTTTACCTTCTCCAACTCCATAGTATATAACCTGTCACTCTTCACAACCCCAGTGCAGCTCTTTCTGCCTATGGGTCCTTTCCCATGCTTTAACAAAATCACCTTTTTGCACCAAAGATGTCTTCAAGAATTCTTTCTTGGCTGTCCCCACCATCACCCCAAACCTCATTGCCAGCACAAACCCCTATCCACACCATGTCTCCTGACCAGAGAGTTCTACAGGGCCTCAGTTCTGGTGGAGTTGGTGTTGGATCTCATTTTACAAGCAGACCAGAGCACACCTAGTTAAAGTTGCCACATTTAGGCCAAGGACCAAACAATGCCCACTGCAGGCAAGAAGAGCCTATGCAAATGAATGGCCTAAAGGATATAGAGCAGCCAAAACGAAACAGCAGAGCACACTCAGTACACACTGGAGACACTCCATGAAGCACAGACCGTGGGTGCTACATAACCTCTTCTTCATAAAGCCATTACTTTTAGGAGCAGGAGGCAAAAAAGGCTTTTCTAGAAAACACACAGAAGAAGGCAGAGACTTAGCAAAATGCCAAGATGGGGGAATGTATCCCACATGAGAGAACAAGATAAGGTCACAGTCAGATATATAAGTGAAACAGATATAAGTAACATGCGTGATGAAGACTTTAAAGCAAAAATCATACGGATATTCATTGGGCTTGAGAAAAGAATGAAAGACAAGCATCCAACTCTTGATTTTGGCTCAGCTCGTGATCTCACAGTTTCATGAGTTCGAGCCCCACATCAGGCTCTGTGTGCTAAACTAGCTGAGCCTGCTTGGGATTACCTGTCTCCCTCTCTCTCTGCCCCTCCCCCACTCATGCTTTCTCTGTCTCTCTCAAAGAAATTTTAAAAAAGAATCAAAGATAAAGAATGCAATAAACAAGATTGGAAACAGCTTGATGCAATGAACAGCAGGCTGGAAAAAATAGAGGAATGAATTAATGACCTAGAAGACAAAGTAATGGAAAATAATGAAGCTGAACAAAAGAGAGAAAGAAAAATTACGCAACATAAGAATAGACTTGACGAACTCAGTGACTCCATTAAAATATAATAACATTTGTATTATAGGAGACCCAGAAGAAGAAGAGAAAATGGGGCAGAAAATTTATCTCAAGAAATAATAGCAGAAAACATCTCAAATCTGGGGGAAGAAATAGCTATCCAGATCCTTGAGGCACAGAGAACTCCCATTAAGATCAACAAAAGCAGGCCAACACGAATTAAATTTACGAAATACAGTGATAAAGGAAAACCTTAAAAGCAGGAAGACAAAAGAAGGGCTTAACTTATAAGGGAAAACCCATAAGACTAGCTGGAGATTTCTCGACAGAAACTTGGCAAGCCAGAAGGTAATGGCATGATATATTCAATGTGCTGAATGGGGAAAATCTGCAGGCAACAATACTCTATCCAGCAAGGCCATAATTCAGAATAGAAGAAGAGATAAAGAGTTTACCAGACAAACAAAACTTAAAGGATTTCGTGAGCCAGCCATGTAAGAAATATGAAAGGGGACTCTTTGAGTGCAAAGGAGAGACCAAAAGTAATGAATCTCCAGAAACAACAACAAATCAAGTAATAAAATGGCACACAAAAAAGTATCTATCAATAATTACGTTGAATGTAAATGGACTAAACACTCCAATCAAAAGACATAGGGTGTCAGAATGGGTTAAAAAAAATAAAATTAAATAAATAAATAAAATAAAATAAAATAAAATAAAATAAAATAAACCCATCCATATGCTGCCTATAAGAGACTCACTTTAGACCTAAAGACACCTGCAGATTGAAAGTGAGGGGGTAGAGAAACATTTATCATGCAAATGGATGTAAAAAGAAAGTAGAAGTAGCAGTACTTATATTGGACAAACCAGGTTTTTTGTTCTTGTTTTTATCCTTCTTTGGTATCAGGGTAGTACTGGCCTCATGGAATTATTTTGAATCTGTTCTCTCTGTTCCATTATATGTAAGATTTTGATAAAGATTACCATTAATTAAATGTTTATTTGAATTCACCAGTGAACCCATGTAGTCTTGGGCTGTTCTTTGCTGGGAGATTTTTGATTCCTAATACAACATTCGTTCTTGTTATTGATCTAAGATAATTTCCCACCTCTTGGATTCAAGATTCATGATTCAATCTTGATAAATTGTGTATTTTTAGGAATTATCTGGGTTTTTTCCTAAGTTATCTGATTTGTTATTATATAATTATTTACAGTAATGTTATCATACTATGTTATTTCTGTGGTTGTCTGTTGTATTGTTTTCTCTTCCATTTCTCATTTTGGTTTTTGAATCTTTTCTCTTTTTTTCTTAGTTAATGTAGGTAAAGCATTACCAATTTTCTTTTTTTTTAAACTGGTGATTACTTTCAATATTATGTTATTGTTTATTGTGGTCCCTATTTATTGCTGATTTTTCTTTGTTATTCTTTTTCCCTGATAAATTTCAGCTAAGTTCCTTCTTTTTCTAGGTCCTTATGATGTAATGTTGTTTATATTAAATTTTTATCTTAATATAAGCATTTATACCATAAATTTATAACATTTGCTTCTGCTGCATCCCATAGATTTGAGAATAATGTGTTTTCTTTTTCTCTTATTTTGAGGCATTTTTTGATTTGCCATTTTATTTCTTATCTGGCTCATTGCTGGTGCAATAGTGTACTGTTTAATATTTACAAATTAAATATTTAATATTTATTTACATTGTTGATTGTTCAGTATGTTTTTGTTGATCTTTAGTTTTGTACAATTGTGGTTGGAAAATACAATTGGTATGATTTCAGTCTTCTTAAATTTGTAATATCTGTTACTTCTCTTTGTATGTGATTTAACCAGAGGATTCTTCTTTGTGTACATGAAGAAAATGCATATTCTTTCTATTTTTCTTGGATAGAATGTTTTATACATATCTTTTAGAACCATCTATTCTGAAGTATGCCTCAAGTAAAAAAATGTTCTTGTTGAAAAAAATTACTTTAACTGAGGGTACTCACTCAAAATAAAACATATCCGAGGGGAGGTGGGTAGGGGGATAAGTGAAATAGGTGAAGGAGATTAAGAGTACACTCATCATGATGAGCACTGAATAATGATGTATAGAATTATTGAATCACTATATTGTATGCCTGAAACTTATATAACACTGTATGTTAACTATACTGAAATTAAAATTAAAAACTTAATAAAAAAGTTTTTTATTTTTAAAAAAGTAAATGGACAGAAAATATATATACCATACAAATAGTAACCATAAGAAGAGTGGAGTGGAATTAATTGCAGATAAAACAGAATTCAAGACAAAGATCATTATCAATGATAAAGACATTTTATAATCATAAAGGAATTTGTTGTTAGGAAGTTAAGTCTTATAACAGAGTTTTAAAATATATTAATTAAAAATTGATAGAAATAACGGGAGAGATATTCAATTCCATAATTATAGCTTGAGATTTTAACATGCCTTATTGATAGAACAACTAGACAAAAAAAAATCAGTAAAGACATAAAGCATCAGAACATTTAAAAAATGATAAAATAAAAATATAACCACAATACCATTCCATATCTAAAATAAATGATTCTTGACTATCATCCTTTTGAACCTGACCTTCCATGAGCTAGTGGACAAAGAGTTTGTCCAGTTTTAAATGTATTTTTTTAATTTTTTTTTTTTTTTTTTTTTTTAAGACAGAGCATGAGCTGGGGAGGTACAGAGACGGAGGGAGACAGAGTATCTGAAGCTGATTCTACCGACAGCAGAGAGCTCGATGTGGGGCCCAAACTCTTGAACTGTGAAATCATGACCTGAGCTGAAGTTGGACTCTCAGTCGACTGAGCCACCCAGATGCCCTGAGATTGCCCAGTTTTATTCTGCAACTTAAAATCCTATCAGTGGTTGAAGTAAAACTTAACATAAATTAAATCCAACTGATTCCAGACAAGAAGTACAGTGCATAAGAAAAGAGTTTTATATCGGATGCACCTTTGCCAATAAACGGTGATCAATTCTGGACCATCAAAAGAAGCAGTTATTGTTACCTATACTCATATAATGCTAAGGAGGAAAAGGT